ACAAGTGTATGGGATGAAAAAGAAGTGTAAACAGTTTTAAATCTAATCTTTGCTTCATTAAAGAAAACATTCACAATCAGACAAATATATTTGTTTTTTCTGCAATTATAACACTCTCTAGTAAAAAATACACTGAATTTTTTGCATACAAAACTATGCAAATGTTACTTCGGTGCTAATTAAAAAAATAAGATGAAATTTTTGAGTAAATTTCATTTTTCATTTATGAAAAATTAATAGTAACCTGTGGTAATTGATATTGCTTCATCATTGATAATGTTACCGAATCGGTACGATGAAAAATATTCAATCGTGCAAGAACATTTATTTCTTCATTATTACTCTTTACTGTCATTAATAACAAATTCAATACTTCAATACTGATATTACCTTTTAAAGTGATACTTGAAGAAGTTGATATTTGTTCCATTTGTATGCCAATACTAATGGTTGGCATTGCATTTGTTCCTAAAGATATTTAATTTGAATATAATTAGAAGCAATATTCAATACTAAATTAGTAATATGATCAACGGTGATGATTTGTGACAATTCTATTCCAGTAATGTGTTAAGATTTTATTTTGTATGATTGGATTTGATTGAAATTTGTTCAAATTCAGCAACTAAATTTGCAATTTTTTTTTTTGCCACTAATCTTTAATGAAGTTTGATATTTTATTAATGAATACTATTTATAAAATGAATTTTACTCAAACCAATTTTTCTAATGAAAAAAAAAAACGAAACATCAGAGAAGATACGATGTTGTAAGAAGAAAGATGGGAAAATAAGAAAAGTTAGAAAATTGGGAAGTGTGTAAACCTCGATGTCGATATTCTCGAGGATCGGTTAACATTCCAGAATCCACTTTTTCAGGTACCCTTTTCTCCCTCGTTGCAATATATGTATTTGGTCCATCGCAATCGTCCATTAATTTTTTTTTTTTTTAAATTGAAATCGAAAATTGACAAAAACGAATCTGACGATTGGAATAAATTTTGAAAAAAATATGCCTCGGCAATTTTTATTTAATTCGTAATCGATAATATAGCTCATTTAAAAAAGTAAATCTTTAAGAATATTAATTTCAAATAAATTCAATAAATTATCAGCTGGTAACTTTTATGCGTGATATTTTTAGCCAGTATAAAATAATTGAAAAAAAAAATTATAAATGAGAAACTTATTGTCAGAATTCCTAATCGACTTTTTTTCCACAAAATCAAATACCATCTGAATTAAAATAAATCTTTATTAATTAAAAGCTTAACAGCTATAACCTGAATTAAGATGAATCTAAGTTGATTGAAAACCTAATGGCTATGACTTGAATTAAAATGAATCTAAGTTGATTAAAAGCCTAATAGCTATAATCAGTTGCCTAGCAACAAAAAGAAATTTCCAGCTCAGTTTGATTGAGTCACACATAAGATTTCAGAAACCATTGATGCTTGAACTATCCGATTTACCTGATAAAGAAGTATCCTAAGTAAATTAGCAATTTTTCTTTTTTTTTTTTTATACTCCATAATTCAGTCTTTATTTTTTGGGATTAAAAATTTCATCATTGCAATTTATGCTTGATGTTAAAATTGTATATTCCATTAAAGTTGATTAATGGTTGGTTTAATCAATAAATACTTATTGACTAAATTGAACAGAAAGAGGAAAAAAAATCAGGAATAATTTATTTCAGGCGATTGTATATTGTATTAAAGTTGATTAATCAATAAATATAAGTCGAATTTAATGATGTTGAAAAATATTTCACTGATATTTCTGATTTTTGTTAATCTATCTATCTGTCGATTTCATTAAATTGCTAATAAATGTCGAATTAATGAATTACTATTACATGTGTAAATGTTAAAAAAATTTTGGTAACCAAATGGATTAATAAATTGGAATAATTTGATTGCTATAAAAATTTCAGTTCTTTTTATGCATCATATAAGTTTTTTTTACTGAAATAGCAAATAATACTGACATCAAACAGGTCAATGAGAAAAAAAGAGATGTAAAAAATTTTTGCATTTAAAACAAACAAACAAACTTTAATTACAATTTTAAAAAATCAACAGATATGAATAAAGCTTCGATTTCACATTAAACTCATTGATTATAAGTTTTATTATAAACAACGAAATGTTACAGTATTTATTTTTTTGTAAATTATATTTAATGCAAAATTGAAGTTATATTATTCCATATATCATTATATTATATCTATATATCATTATACATTACTGCGTATCAT